AACAATCTACATTTATTTAAATATGGTCATGTCATCTTCTGGAACATCATCATCTCTCTGCAAACCCCAGATTCCAGCCTGAATTGGTTGGGACTCCATTTCCTGTAGAACCACTGACCCCAATCTCTCGTGTCCAACAATAGAGCTGTACTTACATGAATGCTTCTGTCCATGTGGTGCACTTATAATGCATTGGTTACGTAGCTGTCAGCAATTTTATTCTATCACTTCTTCACCCAAGTCTCAACCTCCTGCAGGGTGGGCTTCACAAAGTTTCCATTAGATCAAGTGTTAATTGAAGACTTAGGAGATAGGAGTGGCAACAAAAATGATGACAGTTAAGAATGATTGTCCACACAAAAGAGACAAAAAATGGCAGGTACAAAAATTCAGAAAATGTTTCCTTATTTCACACAAATCCATTACAACACATGCCATATCGAATTATGCAGATTCATTTTAGACACAACCAACTCTGTCTGTTATCAAGTGTGTACATTATACATGCATTGTATCTCTACTTGGATTGGTCATTCAGCAATCAGTCTCCTGTTCATCTATTTACAGAAGAATTTACCTCTTCTGCAAAGGCACCTGCTTGGGCATTTACTAATACCCAAATTATAGTTTATATTGTCGTTTATTTAAAATATTGTCAATAATACTATTTACTTATATTTAATTATATATTAATATTATTATTTTACAATTCAATACATATATCATGTGTTGCAACAGACAAACTAAATGCAGCCATCTGGCTGACAATCTTTTTTTTTTCATTAAGTTTATTGTTATTAGGTATACAATATGTTGACATTCATCATTGGGAATTTGTACCAGCACCTGATGTATCTTGGTTCTTATTTTTTCCCCATTCTCCTGCTGTTCCATACTCTTGGCTGACAATCTTAAGTGGGGTTTATTTTTAGGGTAGGGCTTATAAGCATTGTAAATATCATGCTAGAGCTCATTTTCTGGTGTTATTTTCTGGGAAATACAGTAATAAGTTCAAGGCCAGCCCGAACTACATAGATAAACCCTGTCTAAAAAAAAAAAGGGATTTTTTCTAAGTTTTAAACATGAAGACCACCTCTGGGAAATATGCTAAAATTTAACAGGGTTCGGGCAGGGAGGGCATTTGGAGAAAGGCAGATGGAAAATTTATTATCATGGATATTCTCTCCCATCCTGTGAAACTGAGCTACAGGCAGCCATGACCCAAGAATATGTAAATAAAATAATCATTTAAAAAGTAGATACAAGACCAGGAAGCCAGACAGCCAGGACAGTCTCCTAATGCTTGCTTGAAAGCAGAGGGAGACCATAATTGCCAGTCTCTCCCTGGATAAACAGAACAAACCTCTCTAGAAGCAATTCTATGTGCTGGTGAACTGTCAGAACTTTGGAATCAGGTTCCAGGTCCAGACCCCAGCCATTACTTCCTAGCTCTGTGATCTCAGTTAAGTTACCTTAGCCTTCTGCACATATATATATATATATATATGTATGTATATGTATATATATATATATAATTTTGAGACAGGATCTCACTATATAGTAGTTCAGGCTGGCCTTGAACCCACTATGTAGCCCAAGCTGGCCTCAACTTTACTGCCATTCTCCTGCCTCAGCCTCTGGAGGGCTGATATTACAGGCATGCACCACCATGCCCAGCTGCACATCAGTATTCTTCACATACATCAGTATTCAGTAACATGAGGACAGTGACAGAATGATTCTGTGACTTCCTAGAGCTGGTTAAAGTATGAATCAGATAACACAAAGATCCCAGAACAGTACATGAAATGCTTAGCATTTATCTATTTTATTCCATTATCTGGAAAGTGATTGGGAGTTGATGCACCTAGGTAGTAAAAATAAGTAGTAGGACTCAGCCTTAAAGAAGGTCAAATTTGAGCCATCTGCAGGAAAATGGATAGAACCTGAGACCATAATGCTAAGTGAACAAACTGGAAACAGAAGGATAAATGTCTGCATGGATTCTCTTATATGAGAAACCCAAAATATAAATAATTTGAAGAGTAAAATAAAAGAGAGGGGGTAGGAAACAAGGAGATAGACTTTATGGAAATGGGAAGGGGACCTAGGAAAGGAAGGACAAGGGAGGGTGTGGGGAAGGGGAAGTAAAAATGATCAAAATGAAATATGTACAAATACCGATTCTTCAAGATGAATGGAATCATTATGTATTATAAACTTATACCAATGATAAAAATATTTCATATGAATAAACCAAGGCTCCAAATGCTGGAGGGCTCAAGGCCCAGTGGGAAGAACAAGCAAAAGCAATGACCAGTGTAGAGAACCGTCAGAAAAATGACACTTTCTCTCTCCAATTCCTCCTTGTGTGACTCTCTCAGTCACACAAGAAATTGGATATGGCAGTGGCATAGGTGCTGACCAGGGACTGTAAGATAGACATCTGGTCTGAAAGGTCTTGGAGACTCAGAGGGCTCTGGGAGTTTTCCGTCTCTTCTGCCATGCAAATATGTCCAGGAGTTTTTCAGAAGGGAACCGGGAAATCTGAGAATCATGGAAGGAAGGAAGATAATAGAAGGGACCAGATGGGTCCAGGGAGCTGCCGGTGTCTTAAACTGCGATTCATTTCTATACCTGCCAGCACCTCTCATAGCTCTGGAAAGTAGCACAATTCATTCTGATGCATCCTGAAGTGCTTTAAAGGGTTAACTTATTTACCCAGTATTGAATAAATATAAACTGCCACGGGGGAAGACAAAGGCCAGAACGTGAGAGAAAGAAGTGGCACTTAGAGATAAGGAAGGGGTAAGGCTGGCAGGAGCACTAAACTAAAAAAGAGGAAAAACTGAAAAGAAATCAGCATGGAGGCTGAAATGACCTTTAGATTCGAAAGCATGTGGGCCCCTCCTTAAGCATGATGAAATCTGAGGTGCGGTTGGACTCAGAATTTGATTCTGAGCCAATAGAAGACTTTGTCCTCGAACTTTGGAGGAGTGTCCTATGACTTTCTCTTCCTCCAGTGTGGATGAAACTTGACAGTCATTCCTCACCTTTCCCTGCTAAAGTCCCCCAGCTCTGTTAGCCCTAAGATGACATCGAACAAGGGTTCAGGGGCCAGAAATCTTGTTCTGACAGTCCTTCAGTTTCTTCTGCCCCAAAAGACCAATGGCAGGAGAGTGATACCCCAGGGGACTTGGGAAAGAAAGTCATTTTTTGACCATTCTCTGCACCAGTTTTTGGCTTGTTTGTGTCTCTTCTCCAATGGATCATGATTCCTCATTAGTGGGGAATCTTGCTTCATTCGTATGAAATTAATTAATTCATCTGCACATTTATTAAATGCTTACTGAGCTCTGACTATGTGCCAGCCACAAAGGAGAAAGTGTCTTGATCTCCTATTCTCTAGTGTTGGAAGGAAAGGGTGGGTAGGCGATAAACTGGTAAGCTTGTAGGTGAATGAGCAAAACAGGTTTAGCATGGCTACATGTATGGAAGCAGCCTCAGTGGACTGGAAAGAATAAATGTGTGCAGAGATGTCTGGGTTATGTCCCAGCACATGGCAGGAAAGGCCAGAACTCCAGGAGTCCATATTTGCACGGAGTCTCCAAAAATAAGAAGGTGCTAGTTCATCAGATAAGGAGCACAGGAAAGAGAAATCTGGACCCAAGAGACATCAGGTGCAAAGGCTTTTCTAGTAGAAAAGAGGCTTGCCCTTTGAGAGAATGAAAAAGGTGCCACTGGGCATAAAGTTTGATGAGCAAGGGGGAGAAAGACCAAGCTGTTGGCTGATCCTAGTCATCCTGTGAGATAGCACAATGTGCTTGGGGCTGACTGAGTGCAGTAGGGAGGAACCAAGTCTGCCTGAAGACAGACTCTATAACTTTCCCCAAATTTTCTAAGACATAGTCTGTCTCCCTTCTCCAAATCCAGACATTAGTAATGTCTGATTTAGAAAGAGAACACAAAGCTTATGCCATAAGATCAGAAAGACAGAAGATGAAATTTGGAGCTACATACAAAATATTCTTCCAAGACACAGAGAATTTATCTGGAAAAAAATGTATAAAAATTACTCTCTAGAGGGGGATAGATTTGTCTTGAGACATTATCTAGGAAATCTCAAGGAGCAGGCAACTTTAAATGCCCCTAGATATTGTAGGAGCATATAGAGAAAAGGTGGGAAGAAATGGCAGCAAGGGAGAAATCAGGACTCTTGTGCTAGAAACCAAGTTTGCAAATAACCAGAAAACGAACACTTGAGAATTATAATGACTTTGTCCTTTCATTTGTAAAGATGTGTCTACAAGATTTCCTAAATATAATGTGACATAGATAGATGCCTGACTTATTATCCTCAACCACTGTCCTCAAATTCCTCTTAACCAGTGTTCTAGTAGATGTGTCCTAGAGATTTCCTCTTGCTTTCATTAAGTAGTTACTGAGAGGAAAGAAGAAAGTTAACATGTTTTTGCTGAGCTGATTTTTTACAACTCCGAGTCTTTGCCCCTCCAGGTGCTTCACATCCCTCCTTCCCAAATCACTGAGATGTCTAAGTGATGATTTGGAAGGACTTGGACTTGTTAATTAACCTAAACAGTCACATTCATCTGAAAGGTACATTATTGTTAATTAAAACAGATTCTCCTTGTGCCCAGACAGCGGGTTACTGTTATCAGAATAATTAGATAGCAAACAATGGTTTTCATGCAAATCCTTGGCAATTAGAGTTGGTCAAGAGTTGGGTTTGAAATCCCAGTGAAGTCCTCAATCAGAATTCCCCTGAGAGTGATATTGGGAGAAAGATGATATAGGAATGGGAGACTGGAAAATGGGAATGAATAAAAGAGAGTGTGAGGACAGGGCATTTGTTTCCTAAACCTTCAAGAGAGAGGTCACAGCCTGAAATATATGAAATATGAGCCTCAATGTGATGTTCAAACTTCCCTCAAGAAATGAGTCTCTTTCCTTAATGCAAATCGACCCTCCCCAGGGCTCTGTGAGTGCCCAGGAGCTTACCTCCCTGACTCTCATCTTTCTGAGAGGATTTTTTTCTTAGCCAGGAGGCCCAATAAGTCATATACAGCTAAAGTCCCTGCCAACCTTCAGATTAAATTCTTAAGGATTCTAAGGAAACAGGATTTGTATTCCTGAAGAGTTGCAGAAAAGACGCCAGATTCAGACCAATTTCAGACTGATTGGTAGCAGTGCAGTGAGTTAAATGGACATGGGTAGCAGGTCCCTGAGGAAAGCATTAAAGAGACGACTGAGGTCAGAGTTAGACTTAAGGAAGAACTAGCCTCAGATGCAGCACCGACAAAAGCAGGGAAAGGGCAGCCCCTGACGGGACTGAGGCAGGGCCAGCCGGGTGGGAGCAGTAGAGGTAAGTGTGAGGATGCTTGTCTCGAGCCCACTCCGACCTCTTACTAGCTGCGGGCGTCTGCCAGGGCTTTTTCTTTGTGAGGGATGTGATAGCTGCAAGACTGTTTCCTGGGAGCCTGGGTTCTCTCTACCTGGACTTCATGAGGAGATTCTATCTGGAGGCACGGTGGGAGCTGATAAGACAACCCCAGTGGTCTTAAGGTAAGCCTCCTCTGCATTAGGCTGACACTGGAAGATTCAGGGAGTCCGAAACAGCCCCGCCTTCCCCTCAACTAGGTCAGCCTCTAAATTCAGTCCCTTGCAAGGGAGGAGGACAGCATCTGGTAGGATTGTGAGAGTGGTCAGGGGCTGGAGGGATAATTTTGAAAGGAGATTGGAGAGAGAATAAAAGAAGACACTTACACACTAGGACCTACTTGCCAGCTGTGGTTGAAGGCCCGTGTGTAATTTAGATTTGTAAATTATTTCCTTTCTCTTCACTTTCTTTTTCTTCCTTTCTGTTTCAGAATGTCTCCCGTGGCTCAATCTGTCCCTAAATCTCACCTTTCAGTTTGTGACACACCAATCAGGGGCTGAACCTGGCCGTTGAGAAGAGACAGAAGGTGGGAGATTTAGAAGCTTTCTCAAGGCGCCCACTCAGAAAAATTCCCCAAGCCTTTTGCACCCTTCTGCCTAGGATATTGAAAGTCATCTCTGCACCCCTCCAGCATGCTCCTACTTACCCCCAAGCCCACTGAGTCACACAGAGTCCTTGTAGGGAAGATGCCAGGGAAAGCACATCTTTGAAAAATGACCATAACCAGATTCTGTTGATGCTAAGCACTCGTCAAGCTGCCCCAGTCTGTAGTTGGGTTGGAGAGAGGAACTTTTGTTGTGACTTTTCTGGGTAAAGGGTGGGGTTTTTGTTGGCTCTAGAGGTTGTGCCCCACATTTAGAGGGACTTACTCCCAATCATCACGTAAATGCAGCAGGGGAGGGGCTGAGGAAAAGCCTCCACAATCCTGATCCAGCAGCCAGAAAAACACCCACTGGGAAAGAAGGTGCCTAGTATATGGGGGCACAGTGTGAGAAGTAGAAGGAAAGATTTGTGTGGGGAAGAAAGGTTTATTTCAGGAGCTGGGGTCTGAAAGGGAAATTGAGGAGTTCCAGGCAGAAGATGAGTCAGATGAGGTCCTCCCCCTTTAAGTTTCTCCACCCTTCACAACTTCTCGACTTTGCTTCCCTCTTCATAGCCTACACGGAGAATTGGACCTCAAAGCCAGAGTAAAAGAACTCATTTGGGTAAGGAGTGAGTCATCAACCTTGCTTCCTTATCCAGAGAACAGGGGCGGGTGCAGAATTTAATGAGGAGAGGGGCGCTGAGGAAGGTCAGGGTGCACACACTTACGTGTGGGTCAGACACATTTATCGTGACATGCATGCATCTAACATGGCTGTGGGTTTAACATTGAAAGACAGACGTACATGTGAACGTGTGCGTACACACACATGGGAATCAGGGTCATACTGAAGAATGATCCTGTGAAAGCTGACTCATAGGAAACTGCTTTCCGAATTGTCTTGGTCTGTGTCCTGGACTAAGAAATGTCTCCTATGATTCGCCCACTGCCCTCACAACACTCTGATCTCTAAATATAGGCAGAGAGAAGACAAGATGGGGGTGTGGGGGTGCTGGACAGGTCATGCAGAGAGAGATACTATTGCTTTGGGTTTTATTGTCATTCTTTGCTGTGTGTCTCTCTCTCCAGTTTCTACTCCTGTTCTGTTTGCTATCTCTCACAGCTTCTCTTCTCTAATAACCTGTTAAGAAGCTTTGTCTTCTGGTTTTTGCAGTGTGCAAAAGGCTCCTCTTATCTCCACCCTGGAGAAGGCAGTAACCTCACACCTCAGAGAACATCTGTGTTCCCTGAGAATGTTTATAAGTCATTCACTTTCTCCCCGAGGCCAGCCAGAGAAGCAGAGCCCTGCAAGAAACTAGCAGGAAACCTCTTTCTTGCTCCACTCTCCTGTCTCTCCTCTTCATCGTTAAACAAAATAAGAGATTACCCACTTTATTGAAGCAGCACAGGCTTTAATTCAGGTTGACAGGTGGGAGGAGAGCTAGGTTTTGCCTCCATCGTTGTCCAGATGAGAAGACCGTCTTGCAGAGAGGGGCAGGGAAGGAAAGGAAGACTGAGTGGCTTGGTGGAAGAACAGGGCCAGGAGCAGAGGGGCAGCTACACAGTGCAATATGGCCAGCGCTTCGGCCAGGTGCAGCGCCAGATCCAGAATCTGCTGGGCCAGACATGTGGGCAACAGCAAGACTTTGGTCCTTACTAGGGAGTCAAACCCCAGAATCACTCCATGAGGCCACCAGAAAATGAACCACATCCACAAGATGTCAACCCAGGGACCTGGACCCCTGCCCAATGCCCTCCTCAGCCCCTTGGCTCCCAACAAACCCAGGGGCAACAAGCTGAAGATGGCAAAACAGATCACAACATGTGTGGACTGCAGAGCGCCCAGACCCCTGCTGTAGGACAGGGTGCAGAACCCAGAAGCTGTGTCACTGGCGAGAGTGACGGGTAACCCTAATAGGGCAGACACTCCCCAAAGTCCTACAGTGAGCCCCAGGGTGAGCCCTGGGACCTGGCCTGGGCCCAGTTTGGGGGCCAGGCAAGCATGGCACCCTATCAGCAGAGCCTGAGCAAAGGCGGAGCTGTACCAGATCCAGTAGCCCAGGTGGCACAAGATAGTGCTCTGGGCACTATTTAGCCCTGGTGCCAGAATGGGCACCACAATGCTGAAGAGGCCACTGCCCACTGCCATCTGGGCCAGGAATGGCCAGGCAGGACAGAGCTGCCAGTGGAAGAGAGGTCTAAGCAGCGCAAAGAGGACAGCTCCACTGGCCAGAATACCCAGAACACTAGAAAGGATAAAGAAGGGCAACGAGGATTCGTCCAGCAGGTTACAGGAATGGCAGGGCGCAGCAGAATCCAGCCAGTTGTAGTCTTCGAAGCGTCCATAGCTGGTGTTCTCACCGTTGGAATAATTCCATGAATAGTCTCCAAGATCCAACTGACTTCCATTCATGTCGAGTGAGAAGGAGGGCTTTACCTGGAGGCAGCCAGAGGGGGAAATCAGAGGCCCTAGTGACCTCCCAGACCCCAGGGAGGGCAGGAGAGAGGAGAGAGGGAGAGCTGGGAAGACAAGAGAGTGTGGGGACGTAGTGGGATGGTGGAAAAGGGCAGAGCAGGAAGACTGCGGAGTGGGGCAGCACCGAGTGCCTGGCAAGGCAGGGAGGAGCTGGGGACAGAGGGCAGGTAAGGAGGGATTTATCTGCCTGGGCCTGGCTAAGAGGAAAGGGAGAGGAGAAAGCATAGGGTAGGAGACTTGGGTAGGAAGGAGAGAAGGGAAAGAAATTTTTAAATGTGCGAACAAAGAAGGAAAGAGTCAAGAGGTGAGGAGAAAAGGGAAGAGGTATACAAACTCAGACTGAGGAGCAAATAGATAGGGCACTCGCTACGGAGTCCAACCCCACACTCACCCGGTCCAGGCAGCTCCCCATGGCACTGTGGGTGCAGGGCAGGAGGAGAGAAGGGCTTGCAGCTCTGTCAGCGGCTGTGGCTCCTTGATAAGTGCCAAGGACTAATGAAGGCCCTCGGGTTCTGGGCAGGGCCGTGGCGCAGCACTCAGGAAGCCATACCCCACACCCACTGCCTGCCCGAGCCTCAGGTCAGCCTGTGCACCAACCCGGAGCTTCCTGTTTTGAGATTGCATTTGACGGGGTCAGGGGGGTCTCGGGAGAGGAACACAGCAAGGAACAGATGGCAAGCATTTTCCCGAAGATGGAGAGGAAGAAACCAGGAGACTTTCCAGCAAGAGAGGAATCTGCAAGTCCGAGGAAGGAAGAGGGGCCGGGGTGACTGGTGAGGTGGAGATAAGAGGGGTGCTGGGAAATTGAGGTGAGAAAGGCAGCTGATGACTGTCACTTTTCCCCATCCCTTTGAACAGGAGCCCAGCAAGGTCCAAAGGGCTGTGTGCATTGGGAGGGAAGGTGTGTCGATGGTGCCGGTGTCCTGGTTGGATCTGTGCTTGCGCATGCAAGTCGGCAGGAGCTCTGTGTGTATCAGGGTGGGTAGGACGTAACTGTTTATCTGTTGCCCTCGCTGTGTATCAGTGGGCACACATCCGAATGTTTGGTACTAGGTGTCTGGGTGTGTGCGTCGCTATCTGGAATCATGGGTGTTTCAGTGAGAGAGGGAGGGAGGGCCGAGGGGCTGTCAAGACTGCCCAGTGATGTTGCTTCAGAGAGCGATTGGGCATTTGCCTCACCACCTATGGGCGCAGTGAATGCATCTCCCATACCAAGCAGAACACATGGTCTGACACATTGAAGTAGGCTCTGGGGGACACTGGGATAGCATATTTTAAAATGGGACTGTTGCCTATGAGGTAATCTCTATTCATATTTCTGTTGTGGGATGTAAAGGCTCTGCAGCTGTTATATTGGCCTGGCATCTTAGCAATATGGGAAGTTGTGTTGAGGGAGTGGAGCTGCTATCTCCCTGGCCAGCAGACACAGAGGGCATCTATCCTGCAGGCCTCCTAACCCAATGTTTCTGCTCTTTGGTGGCCACATCCCTGCTACTTTCCCAGGGTCTCTGCTGTGGCCTCCTCCACCTCTGCATTTTATTTTCGTGGATGCAGAGATATAGCCTGGGCTTTGGGAGGGGTGATCTCAGGGTCCAAGCAGCAACAATGAGATATAGTAGGAGAGGAGACACTTTCATTCCTTCAAGAAAGCATGGGATATTTTGACCCCAATTCTTTTCAGGACTTTGTCTCATTCACAAAGGAGTGCCTGGGGCCCAGCACTGTAGATCCAGGTACAAAAGGATGGTCACCTTGTAGAAATTCTCTCTTCTCTCCCAGGACACCAGGTCAAGTTTCAGCTTCCACACAGAGGGGACTGAAAAGTGAGTTTGGGAAAGGCCTGGTGACGTTCTCTTTCCTGGATAGTGTTGTTGGCTTCTCCTCCTCCATCCCAGCATCCTTCAGCATTGGCTGGCAGAGGGGGCAGTCTGATGCCCCACCCAAAACCCTCTCTGGAAAGCAGAGTCCCAGCGGAAGGAGGTGGAGACATTTATCTCCCTTATGGAAGAGTGGCAAGGCAAGGATGCCTCGCCCCTAGAGGTGCCTGGTGCCAGGGATACCAGAGTGGCCCTTATGTACATGCAGCCTGGCAGCAGTAAGAGCAGCAGAAAGGAGGCAGCCGAACGACACGAATAATCCAGATATATTGAGGGTGGCCCCTCTGAGATTAGCACAGGAGAGTTAGAAAGATTATAAAGATACACGATCCCTGGCCCCTTCCCCCACCCCCGCCCATGGACAGACACACACAGCACAACGGCCCTCACCCCCCCCCGCCCCCAGTACAAATATGGCTTCTGTGTAATATGGACAGAGTGGTTCAGCTCAAAGAGGAAAAGTCTTTTTCCCAAAAGCGAGTGCTGGGAGACAAGGAGCCCAATGCTCCCTTGCCTGCTGCAAGAGGAGGAGGCCCTGGCTTAGATGAGGGGCTGCCTACAGTGCCCAGGGCCCTACCCTGGGGGCTGGAAGATTCACGAGGGTATTTTACCTGAACAGAAGGAGTGGGCAGAACTGCAGGACTGCAGCTACCCTGTGTTGCATGCCCATTGTCAGAGCAGGGAGGACATGCTGGAGCAGGGGAGTGTGATGCTAAGAGCATCCAGGATCTGAGGTGGGCAGGCCAGCAGGATGGGGAGGCTGAGCAACCTCATCTCCACGGCAACCAGCTCAGTCACAAGAAGGAAGGAAGACAGAGAACCAAAAGCAGGGGTGGGGACCCAGCCCTCCAAGTACAGATGATGGGAAATCCAGGGTCAGTGCCAGGGAGAGGCCTGAGGAGTGCATAGCAAAGGCTGTGGCACTGACTCCATGGTGTGGAGATGGGAAGGGAGGGCTGAGTGCTGTGTGTTTCAGGGAGATGAAATGCACACCTGGGCAAAAACACATCCTGGGACTCCTTTCCCCGAGATGGGCCTTGTGCGTGGCATGGAGTGACATGGCAGGTGAGGTATGAACCCTGACTAGGAATCCTCCACTCCATCTCATGTCCATTAACAGGTCCACCTGCTCAGGATCCTTGGGCCCTGGGCCTCCTCCTTAATCGCTCTCTGCATATCACTTGGACAGACAAACACATACACACACCCAAAACACTTGCACATATACACACATGCACGAGTGCACACACACACATGCACGCACGGAGTTCACATTATTCCCTTAGTTTGGGCAGGAAACAGCTCAGTGCGGTGAAGCTCCTTTTAGTATTTTTGTTGTTGTTATGTCTGCCTGGCTGCTGAGGGAGGAAGGACAGAGGGCTGGCATGGGGGAAGGAGGGGGAACGGGCAGGCGGCACAGGTTGGAGGAAGAGTTGCTGAGCAATGCCATGGGAGGAGTGGTTGCCGTGCAACAGTCCGGGGGTCTTGGGTAGGAGTGAGGGGCCCCTCGGCGGCCGGGGAAGCAGACACAGTTCAGGCCCCAGAGCAGCGCCTCTCCCACAGCTGCTGGAGCTAGGAGGGGCAGCCAAGCTCCCCTCTCCCCCGGGCCAGTTTCTGTGAAAATGGTCTGGCTCCATTCATTGTGGGAGGCAATGGGTGGAAAGAGCCATGTCCACCATCCTCTCTCTCCAAATCTAAGCTTCTACAAAGGGACCCACATCCTCCCCATGTTGAGGCCCAGGGTCCCCACACTGGCGGCACGTTGTGTGCGGGTCACATCTCTTCTGGGACTCTCCCATTCTGGTGGAAGGAGGTGCCTGATGACACCTGTCTCCCTATCCATAGCTTGAGGTGTGTGGCTAGCAGAAGAAGACCACCACTAGCCTCTGCTTACAACCAACCCTCTTGTTCCTGGGTTACAGGAGACGTCTAGGAAGCTGCTCTGTAGGGGAGGATAAATAGCAGGGCTGGGGAGGGCCCCTACTTCCAAACCAGCGCTGCTCCTTACCCGCTCCACTTTTATTCTCCTCCTAACCTTACAGGTTCGTTCTTTCTTTCTTTCTTTCTTTCTTTCTTTCTTTCTTTCTTTCTTTCTTTCTTTTTTTTTTGCTTTGCTTTCTTTACCCCAGGGCTCCTGCCTCTCCAGCCTGGAGACGGATTTGATTTGGGATTGTTACAAAAATAATAATAACCCAAACGCAGAGAAGCCACGGAAAGGGCTGAGGGTGACCCTCCCCTCCCCCCCGCCCTCCTCCCTCCCCATTCCAAACCGGTACAAAACCGCACCCGAGCAGACATTCTGTACAGGGGGGTGGGTGGGCTGGGGAGCAAGCGGGAGGGGCGGCCCTGGGGTCGCTCTGTACAAGTCCGGGTTGATGATGGCCCCAGCAGTCCCCACGGGGCCCCTGGGGGGCGCACAAGGTGGACAGACGCCCCTAGATGAAATACTCCTTCTTGTCATCCCCGCCCGACTGCCCGCCTTCTGCGTTGATGATGGCCGTGTCAGCATCCGGGGCATCGTCGGAGCCTTTTGCCTCGTGTGTCAGGTAGGTGCCTGTGTGGAGAGAGAGGCGCCACCTTTCAGGAGCAGCTTCTAAACCTCCGAGGGCCACCCTGCCCACTTCCCGCACACCCACGCATTGCCCACGAATTTTCCTTTTGCCTAGAGCTCTCTCCCACCCCATCTTGCTTAATTTGCATTTTGTTGCCAACATCCGTCACCTGACCACACCCCCATGAATAATGGATCCCGCCGTCCTGAATTAGAATCTCATCTATAATACAGGCAAGGAAAAGGTGTGTGTGTGCACGCGTGCGTGCAAGGTGGTGATGGGGAAACTGCCACGTCAGCTTCCTCAGCAATGTAGTTGAGCTCTGGCTCCTGTATGACCAACCCGTGCAGCTGGGCTGCTGGCTGGGAGTAACAACCGAGCAGAGAGTCTGAGAGGAAGGGAAAAGGGAGATGGCAAGGACATAAGAAGGAAGGTAAAAGAAAAAAGAAGAGAGAAAAGGGAGTGAGGAAAGGGAGTAAGATCAAAGAAGGGAAGAAGCTCAACAGACAGAAGAGACCATACAGGAAATAATGGGCTAGAGATGGATTCGGAAGCGTTTGGTCTCACAGCAGAGACCCTGGAGGCAGAGCAGCAGGAGCAGCTGACTGAGTGGGAAGGTTGGATTTCACTTGGATGATCACCAAGTGATCAGGCTTTGCTACAGGGTTGGTGGCGCTCAGTTATCACAGGGTTGGTACTAGAGGGGTTGGTTGGAGTTTTTTCTTTCTCAAACACTCCATGGGGCTGAGTGAGTCTCCAGACATCCTTCCTGCAGCCTTCTTCTTCCTGCCTGTCCCCAGCTGGTCTCCCCACCCCACCCACACCCTCCCGAAGCCTCTGACCTTTGTGCCGGATCAGGTAGTGGCCCAGGAAGATGAGCAGAATGAGCAGCAGGAAGACGATGAAAGCCACGATCCCACCAATTATGGCATGGTAGGTGCTGGAGGACGAGGGCACTGGACTGGGGTCTGCAGGGAGGGGGAAGCACAGAGTCGGGTCTGGGGAGAACTCAGACAGTCTCACGGAGCACAGCATGGGCACAGCCCTGGGGAAAATGGAGTGGCTACATTCAGCCAGGGGACAGGTCTTAGCTTGTGTTCCAGTTTGTCACCCAGGCCTGGAATGTAGTAATTATTTAAAAAATTGATGTACTCATGAATAAATAAATAAATAGATCTGTTCCCACTCAACCACTGAAGTAGAGTCCTTGGCATTGTAGCTTGATATTGATCAAAGATTATTACTTTCCAATCCCTCTCCCCCTGGTCTTACTTGTACACTATTAGAGTCTTATTTCCCCATCTCTCATGTCCTCTTCCCCACCAGTCTGCTTGGTATTCCGAGGTAGTTCTTCTAGGGTGCATCTCAGCCCCTTTACCCATTAGCTTGAGATCAGATAGGGAAGGAGCAATGGAAAGCTGATGGAGTTAAGAATTGAGCACTCGGACAGCATAGAGCATCTTACCAAAAAAATGACAGATCGTGTGACTCTGTATGTTCCTTCTTGGCAGTAAAACCCAAATCCTCCAGCAGTAATACCCCAAACCTCTAATCCTGACCCAACAAAGAGGCCTGGAATTCCATCTTCACTGTGCCACATTTCTCACGGTTTACAGGCAAGGTCTGAATTGCTTTATCCTAGGATGGTTGTGTCTCTGCCATTGATTTTACAAAATCTACCCTCCGTAGCAGTAGAGCAACATAGACTGTGGGTCAGGTGTGGCAGGGACAGCCCAGTTATCCTCAGGGATCCAAGCATCCGAAACAGGTGGTATACAGGACACCATCCTGAAGAATCCAAGATTACATTAGCCATAGCTAGGGCTCTCCCACCCATGGGAGAGCTGCTGTTTTTCCTTGGGCTCAGCTGGAGTCTTGATGCCTCATTGGCTCCTTCTGCATTTTTTCTTTCCTACCTTATGTCTTCTCAAGCTTGACTGGGCCAGCTTTTTAGTTCCTTGCCTGTCTATGCCTTATTTGAAAAGAAAACATTTGTGCTCTGGTTTTTTTTATGCTCTGCCTGGGAGGGAGGAGAGGATGGGCCCAGGTCTTCCATGAGATTCTGGGGTGCCTGTGATGGTATGACTTGGAGGAAGTCAAGTGGGAGTAGTTTTCCTTCTGTTTCCCTCCCAGGGAGTATAGGAGAGGTGGCACATACGGAAAGTTAATCCTCTGGATAGTCATGTAAATGGAGATTCCTTAGAAAAGCACAGGTTTCCACTGTCAAAATGACCTCTCTGGTCATCAGTTACAAGGCCGCTCCCCGCTCCTCTAGGTTAATTTGATTTCATTCCTGGCAGGTTTTCAGACAGGCTGCTCTTGGAAGGAGATGCAGGAACTCTTTCCACCACCAGGCGTCAGCACTGGCAGCAGACACAGTCAAACAGGTCGTCCTGGATTTGGCTTTTTCAGCACAGGGCAGAGGGGAAGATGAGCAGGATAGCCAACTGCAAGGCCCAAGAACTTTCTCTCATGGTCAAGGCCAGTCACCAGCAGAGTTGGTCTGGAGAAATCTGGGGGGAGAGTCTGGACCTCAGTGCTTTGTCTTTGTTCCTGGCATCTCACAATAGCCTTGCTTGTGGTACTGAGGCAGCTCCCTCATGCTGAGCTCCATCCCTGGAGTGAGAATCACCAATCTAGATATTCTGGTCCCAAGAACTCAGGCCTCATGTCCCTGGGAGGCCTGGCTGTGGTCCCCAACCTCCTACTACATTAATGGACATTTCGAGTCAGAGAAGCTCTGAAGTTCCTGCAACAGTTTACTTCCTCTAGGGTACAGAAAGGTTTGTAAGACTTTCTAGCAGGACACCACTGTCACCAGGATCATATATATCCCCTGCCAATTTGCCATGAAGAGCCCTCTGTGCGAGCCTGTCACTTCTCCTAAAGCTGGGTTTCGTCATCCTAGTTTTGAGAAGGGCTTTAGAGCAGGAGTGTCCCCTGGTTCTTCTGGAAGATGGCTTCTGAGAAGAGATCTGACCATCTCTCAACCTAGTTCAATCTTGTCTCTTTCTTTCTGCCTGGACACAGTATGGTATTTCCAAGGTCTTGAGAAGAAGACAGCAGCAGCATACATCCCATACATGGTTCTAGGAAGAGAACTAGGAGGACAGCCCTTGTCCACTTGCACTGCAGAATTCTTCTTGTTGTCAAGTGATTGCAGGGATGGGAGATGGTGCCAACAGAGCCACTGATCCTAAGCAAAGGCAGACAAGAGCCCTCCCTACTATTGATCTCTCATTAGGACACATTCCTGGGTGGTCCTGGAGCCTAAGTCCCCAGGGCCCTCCTTGGTGGCTGTTTTCTTTTTGCTCCACTCCCAGTCATACTGAGGGGAAGCCATCAGGAATGGGAAGATGACAGTGAGGAATGGACAGAGAAGCAGAAGCTGGAAGAGGGCTCACCGTTCACATTGAGAGTGAAGTAGGCCGTGTAGCTGCCCATGTTGCTGGTGGCTGTGCAGCCATAGGTGCCGCTGTCGCTCTTGTTGAGGAAGGGGAAGATGAGGGCACTGTCCTGCGTCATCTTCAGGGGTGGCTCACTGCCCTCCTTTACCCACAGGTACTGCTGGGGGCTGTTAGGTAGAAAAATCAGCAGTGTTCAGGAAAGCATAGGGCAGAGAACTAAAGAGAGAACAACTGGGAGCAGGGAAATCAAAACCTATCTGATGAGACTCAGGAAGTCACAGAGGCCAGAGCCACTCAGCTATCCAGAGGCAGAGGAAGGGGCCTCTGGGCTTCATTCTAGAGATGGTGGCCGTTTGCTAACTTATATCTCATTGTAGCTTTGCTCCTTTGAGACATGTCAGGTGCTAAACTAGGGGACACCACTATCTGCTACTTTGAAGAAAAACAGACAAAGCATAGATATCATGGGACAGAGTCAGGTGGTGGAAGGCTCAGCACAGACTGTGCAGAGGTGATGGGAGGGAGATGTACAGGGAAGATGACCATCTAGGGCTAGGGAAGCGTCTGAGAGGGGAGCATGTAGGTCTTACACTGGATTGCCTCGGCCCTCACAGTGTAGCAACAGCTTCTGGCCTTCGCGAGGATGTGGTGGGTCCGGCCTAATCATTGCAGTCGGTGTGTCTGTGGAGAAGGGAATGCTGTGTGAACATACAACTCACCGCGCTGCTTAGGAGATCTCTAAAATCCTGAAATTGCCTAGTTACACACCATAGCTTTTGTCTTAAGTGTCTTGGGAGCCCAAGAGGAACAAAGACCCTCTCTCCATAGCTCTTGTGAGCAGACAGCACTTGCTATGGAACATGTGAGCCACTTGTACGGCAACCTCTTGGAACAGGGTTCTGGAAGGCCTGTCCTTGGTGGAGCCTGTAGATGCCTTCACAGAACTAAGAAGGGGAATGAGCGGTTCATCTGTGCCTAGCGAACTGCCTGGCCAGAAACAGGCCCTAACACATAATCTCAAAACAAAGAAGCCTGGACTTGACACTCAACTGAGTTCACAACCCCTCAGTTCTGTCTGCTGTGCCAGGGAGCTTAGACCTGCGTGCAATGCTTAAACACAAAACATTACTTGGAACGGTCAGTGCAAACATGAAATGAAAGCTTTGAAACAGCAAGAGATGGGGGTCATATTTTGGCTGCAAAAAAAGCACCCTGACACAATATAGATGGGCTCTGCAAAGGAATAATGGCATCTGCCATTGACGCCAAAGGGCTGCTTGGGAGGCTAGGGCCAGATGGTGGCTTAGAACAATACCACCAGATGCTGGTTTAGAACAGCAGATAAAGAGGCTATGCTTCCCCTAAGGGTAGAGCCAACCTTAACAACCAGTTAATGAACGTGGTTCAGTCAAATCAAACAGGACAAAGAAAGTCAGGCCAGGTAAGGGAATGGGTGTTTGGGGGCCTCCCAGTCACAGAAACCTCTACCACATTGCCCAGAGCATATAGCATTTGTTGACTAACTGCTGATCACAGGTGGGCCAAAAGGGTCTCTGGGAAGTTATTGCCAGGTGCTCTTTGGAGCGCAGATGGGGAAGGATCTTCTCTACCTGGCCAGTGACCAGGGCTCCAGAGAAATGCTCAAGGCTAGGGGTCTCATACTCAAAACTAATAAGTAAAGAATACCTTATAGCAATATACAACTTTGAAGTCCACAAAGTTCTTTCATGAGTATTGTTTCCTTTACCCTCAGGATAACTCAGTGAGGGAAACAGGAGTCACAGAAAGATGAAACACTTTGGCCCAAGTGACAGAGCTTGTAAGTGGCAACATTGTGGCTGGAATCTGGGTGTCTGGTGCACACTGAGAGTCGGCTGAGTGGACAGTGAGGCTGGCCACACCTACCTTGCATGAGAGTTTGAATACTGGCCTAGCCATTCATTAAACAACACCGAAGTTAGGAGGAGTAGTAGCTTGGCTCTCCCATAAGCCAGTAAGTAAGGGCATTAGTTGTTTTTGAAAACTGAGATTTTGATAAGTTAGGACAATAAATGCCTCATGCTGTAACTCTCTGTTCTGTGCCTTTGTACTTTATTCTTTCCCCTTTGGTTCCCCTACCCAGAGAAGTTGTTTTTGAAAATTTCCAAATTTCTTCAGATAAGAAACTTTCAAGTGTCCACATTTTCTCAGACGTTTCTGTCCATATTAGAGGCAGATCATACACAGGGTACCAAAATCCTTGGAAAGGTAGGGAGTAATGATACTGACCATGACCAGTTTAGGTCGAAATCCAAAGAAAGGTCACAGAACTGAGGCAAAGAGAGGAGTGCTTTGTAGAGAAAAGATACGGGTATATGTGACGAAACCAAAGAGACCATGCTTTCCTTCCATGAGTACTTTACTGAAGTCACAGAATGTAGGACTGAGAAGAAGAGTGAGTGAGGCCCATGTTCATCTCTCTCATTGCTCAAATAAAAATCAAGCTCAGTGGGAGGAAGTAATTTTCTTAACATCACACAGCTAATATCTAGAGGAGTCAAGACTAGACAGTCCATCCTGGGATTCTGTATTTGCTATAGTTACCATTATAATTTACTATCTAGCTGCATTACACTGGCCTAACCCAGAGGTTGGTAAACATCCCTTGGGCTAAATCCTGCCAGCTGCACGCTTTTGTAAATACAGTTTTACTGGAACACAGCCCTGCTCATATGTTTGCATATTGTCTGTGGCTCTCTGAGCCTACAATATTTATTAATGATCCCTTTACAGAAAGAATGTGCTGGCCCTTAACCAACCCCTGTCATCTCTTGTCTCATTTTCGACTTATTCACCAGCTGCATGCAATGCTTTATGTGCAGTCAGCCCTCACTTTCTTTTTTTCCACTCCCCTACCTCATACCTGGTCCCCTCACCACACCCCAGCCCACGACCTACACAGCACTTCAATGCGTTGAGAAGTGGATCTGTCAGCTCCCTTTAGAGATTCATGGTTCACAGAGCACACAATGTTTGTGCCATCGTCCTCTCGGGTAACCTGGAATGTCACTGAGCTGCTCACAGTGAAGGTTTTCCCGTTGGGATCTTCCTGTACTTTTTGTTCTCCTGGAGAGCAGAAACAGAGACACACAGACACACAGATACACAGACGGACGGACAGACAGACACAAAGTGAGTTCTAATATACAGGTATCATGTGGGCCCACTGTAGACCCAGATGAATGGTGAGTCTCCACTTGGACAGACTTAGGCAATCGTGAAAGGGATATGTACACACAAGGCCCTGACACACATGTGTGTACACAGAGTATCTGTCCCTCCCTTCCTCTTTCGACACCATGTCTTATGTACATACAGACAGACAAATACCCACCCCATGTGTCTTCCCAGGACCAACTCATCCTGCAGTTCTCAGGCAGGATGTACTCACCACGGAGTTCCTGGTCACCCTTCCTCCAGGTGAGATGGGCTGCAGGTTTACTTCCAGAAGACTGGCAGTTCAGGGTGGCTGTATCCTTTTCCCGTAATGATGATCTGTAGCCAGTGATGATGGGCTTCTGTGGGATTCCTGCCATGAATATGGAATGGCCAGAATAGGAAGGAGAGGCACCGTGAGGTCATGCTTTGGCTCTCCCTGCAGAGATGGCTTCTCTAGGGGTCAGGACAGCTGGGCTCAACTTTGGCTTAGAAAGATGGGTAGAAAGCTAGAGAAATCATCTTTCTTTTTGATCTCCTCTCTGAGGACTAGCGGGAAGACCAAAGGAAGGAGGCATGGTACTGGGGAGATGTGCCATAACTGAGACACAATACCTGGTCAGACATCCCAGAGCACGAGTGGGTAGCCACAGAAATAGTAGGATGCTCGGGGAAGCAAAGATGGAAATTGAAATAGTGGAGGGAGATAAGATAAGATAAGCAACTGGGCCAGTTGTCTTAGTTGTCTTAGAAATCACAATTAAACCAAGCACACACCTCATGCTTCCCTCACGTAATTTTGGTAGACAGGTAGAATGAACATGATCATTCCTCCTTACAGCCTGGGAAGTCCTTGCTTAAATAGAGTAAGAGGTCTGTCCCATATCAAGTAGTAAGTACAGCAGAAAGGATTTAAACTCGGTTCTCTTTGAATTTTTATTCCACTTCAGGAGCAACACAGGATGAACTTTCCCCAAATCCTTGGAGACTTGCTTGGCTTCAAGGAGCCTACCCGGGAAGTTTGTTTGCAGAGAAGCATGCTGTGGAAACACTGGGGTTTGGGAGCCTCACCAAGCACAGTGACGAGGGACTTGGCGGTTCGCACAGGCATAGTGAAGATGGAGCAGGTGTACTCGCCCTCATCTGCCAGGGCCACGTTGCTGATGCTGATGCTGAGCTCGTGAGGAGTGGATCTGACCAGCTGAATCCGATTATCTCTGAGAGCTGGGGAAAGTGGGAGCATTGGAAGCCAGGCTTCTACTGGCATCTTTCATGCTATCTTCCAATCCCAGACCAGTATCTTTGGGGAAGGGGACCTATTGGTGGTGGGGTGGGGAGGAGGCAAAATCTGCTCCTGAGTTTGAGCAGTCTTCTTGGGTCATTCTGTGACTTTTCTGGGCCACTGGGCATAGAAGCCTAAGAGATATCCAGAAAAGTAGGTTAGTTCTTGTATGCATCCATGTGAGAGGCCTGGGGGAACATTGACTGCAGCTGCCTGTTAGGTGTTTTCTGGAGGTGAAGCCACCCCAGGACCCTATAGGACCGTGCATGTGTGCATGGTTGGAGCTGTGGTGCTAAAGTTTCTATGGAACCAGTTACTAGTGAGCCCATGGCTTGTTGCTTCCTCCCATAGGATATGTCCACATCTCAAGCTCTGGCCTACAGGGCCAGTTCCCTCCAGCTCAGTAGCCCCTCTCCCCAGCCCGTGGTTCCAAAGGAGAGAAATAACTCAGGGGACACTACCTCTCTTTTCCCCAAAGTACAGAGTCTGCTGGGCAGGATTAGACCACTGCAGGGATGACTCCTCATGATCTTTCACCTGGCACTTGAGCACCACGGTGCCACCAGCCACCACAGTCTCATCAGATGTCCAGGGCTGACTATCTGCAGGATCAGAGGAGGGTTAGTGTTTGAAGTACCTTCAGCACGTCTAACCATTTCTGGGCCGAAGTCCACCTCATCTACTTCAGACCATCCAAGGCTTTGGCGTAAGCAAGTTCTCTGTGTACTCATAAGGCTCCACAGAGGACGGAACAGAGGTGGGGGTGGTGGTGTTGGTGGTGGTAGAGAGGACACAGACCTTAGTTTATCTTGCCTTGAATACACAGAAAACCAGTTACTTGTTGAATGTTTGCTGAATGACAGACAGGGCCACAAACATCGAGATGAATAAGGACACCTCAAATCTGCACATACTACTGTACATGTGTCTTTCTTCATATGGCTTTATCATTCATATTTAAGGACACACAAGCATATCTGTCATCCTGTATTTTGCCTTCCTCCACCACCTATGTATAATAGCAAGAACAGGAGAAACAGTTCTCACTAATACTCAAAACTAAAATGGGAAAAAAGCCAAACTGGCCCTTGGGTTGTACATTCATTTATACAAGAGGAAGCTAATAAAACTGCAAAACAAACAAAAACTTAAAACTGAAGCATTTTGACGTATTTTCCAATTTTCTAACAATACCTTGCCTTCAGTCAGATCCCTTGCACATTTCCTTCTGTAGCCCTCCCCACTTCCCAGCACACAAACCCAAATCGTCATCCTGATAAGGTATCAGAGAGCAAAGGATTAAAGTCTTCCCTTCCACGTGACGAGAGCATGTCTTCTAACCCTTCTCTCCTTAGTCAAGTCGAACAAAACAAAACAAAACAGAAAAAGGACTAACAAGGTGCCTTAGGAATGAGTCCTTTGAATTCCTTCCAGTCAAACCTAGCCTTGAGCCCCTCTGACCCCATACCTTCTTTCTCCACCCAATACGGTTCGTGTTCCCCACAGTATGGATTCTGATTCTCAGTACTGATTCCCTCATCTCCAGACTGACCTTCTGTGACCCAACAGCACTGAGCTCCACAGAACTAATCTAAAATAAACATCTTCTAACTCTGAGTCTAAAACATCTACAAACTCTCTCTGCAGCACTACGTTACTTAACCAGCATTGTTCACATTGGGATAGGAAACCAAGAAACTTACTTCCTATTTTCCTCCTGAGCATTTTAAAAATAACCCCATGCTGCCTTAGGCAATGACTTTATCCCTGTCCTATCCCCTTATTCCCTTCTTTCTTAGTCACCAGAATCCATGCCCAAGAGGTACACACTGAGCAGTCCTGGCAGAGGGAAGGCCTCAAGAAGTGAAGATGAGGAGCTGGAGTTGACACCAAGTATCAGCCTTGCAGGGTGGTCATTTCCAACATGGGGTACAAAGCCTGGTGGCTAGCTTTACTGTTTAGAATGGTAGAAATTAGAACAGAAGTAGATCTTAAAGATCATGGAATCCAACTCTGTCACTTCACAGATGTAGTTAGTAAGGTAGTCGAGGTGAAAAGATCACCTAAGTTCATTCTACTAATTCCACACAGGACCAGAAGTCTGTCTTCTGTCTCTCAATGTAGTGCTCTTCACATTGGAATACTTCTCAAAGTCATTTTGTAACTTGAGAATTAAGAGATTAGTGGGCCAGTGACTGAGCTTATTGAATCAACTTGAGAGTGATATAATCTTAGAATTTCTTAGTCAAAGGTTTGGGAAATATTTCATTTACCATAACCATATTCCAATTCCTAGCTGGCCGTGCCACATCTCTGGGTCCCACTGAAGAATTTTTTCCTGTTCGTATCTTTCCAGAACCTCTATATTCAGAGCAATGTGTTCCTCTGGAATCACTTTATTTTTGGAGTGAGGCATAGAGGTACAGAAGTCTCCATACTAGAGTGAGGGAAGGGAAAGTAGGGACAGGGGAATGTAATGTGGTGGTGTAAAGCTAAGAACTAAGTGTCAAATGGGAAGGAGAAAGAGTTGTGTGGCAATGAGGGAAGCGAGGACACAGGTGGAGGAAGACGAAAGAGAGATGGTGTGAGGATGAGCGTATCTGAGGGATGTGGAGATGAGGCACCTGAATTCTCACCTTGACTGGCCAGCAGGTCAGGGCTGCTCCAGACTGTGGAGCTGATGGCCTCGTCCAGTGGAGCCAAAGTTCCCAGCTCCAAATCCTGCTCCTGCCAGTAGCCTGGGGAGAGAATCTCCATCAAGGATGAGCCCTGCATGTACTGCTACAGTTTGGGTCTATGATTTCATTATGGGGGTGGGGGAGGAACTAGGCCCCTGTTGGAAATAGGTTCACCAGGATACCCTGAGAGAAAGGGGCCACATTAACTCAAGTACTGAAAAAGGAAGCGATCTCTCCTCTGAAGGGGTAAGTCAAAAGAAGAGGCTAGGTTCTATCAGTCAATCACATAGCCTTAGAGCCAAAGAGATCTTAAAAGCTCTTCTGGTCTGGTTTTCCCATTTCACGGATTAAGACGGTGAATCCCAGAAGACTAAAAATGACTCGGTGGAGGTCACTACAGAAAATTCAAAGATAACCGTAGATTTTTCATTCCTTATCCAGGATTAAAAAAACAAAAAACCAAACCCCCTCCCCCACATTGTCTACTAAAATTACTTCATGTTGGAAAATAAGAATATACTTTCACGTTGAATCCTTTTACTAAACCCTAAAAATACATACACGGATGTTATCATTTCTATTTCTCAGGACTGAAGGAGAATGAAATGATGCCTAGGGTCCTACAAAGAGAACAAAGACTGGAAATGCCTGGATTCCAGTCCGATGCTCTGCTTGTTCCTCGGTGAGACCCTCACTGAAGCAAGACACCAGGGTCGGGGTTGGAAGTCACACCGCTGCTTCTCAGGCTGCTACTCCTGTGGGGCTCTCAGGTCCTCTTCCCGTTTTCTCACTAGGCTCTTAGCCCCTCACCTCACCCACTCCGTGCTCTGGTTTGGAGTAACAAAACCCCCCTTTTCTTCACCCTGGCCTGCGCAAGCCACCTCTCTTCCCAGGAGCTAGCGCCTAAACCTTTTTATTAGGTACAAAAGTGTCAGGCAACAATTTTCCCAACTCCTCCCGAAGAGGTGGAGGGACAAAGAAACTGGAAGCGCGAATCTCTTCAGGATCTCGCGCCAGAGAGCCACGAAGTAGCCAATCACGTGCGCAAAACTCAGTGAGGTCATCGGCTGCGGAGCAGAGACCAGAGGAGGTCCCGGAAAACTTCGCCACGGTCCCGGACTGAAGAGAGCAGTGGGACGTGGGCTTGGTTAGGGTCCCGCGGGAAGAAAGGGGAGCAGGACTGGGACCGAACTGCTGAATGAGGAGAAAGGGAAAGAGAGAGAGGAAAGGGAGACCGCGGAGAGAGAAATGGGGTGGTGGTGGTGGTGTGTGTGCGGGAGAGTCCTAGCTGGCTTCACAGGGCCTCCCTGGCCGCAGGTCCCCTTTCTCGCATGGACATCACCCCGGAGATGTGAGACATTGGTCTTGGTCTGCGCAACTAGCGAGGAGAGTAAGAAGAGAGAAGAGAAACTGTTAACAGGTACAGAGAAGCAGGCGGGGGAAGGGCACGAGGGAAGCTCTGATGAAGAGAGGAAAGGACCTGGGGGCCTTGGCTGTCGTGTCCTGATCAGAGATGGTCCCTAGGTCCCAGCCTACAAGATGCTGCTTTCTCTGGGCATCAGGGATGGAGGCAGCCTGACGCTGGTGAGTGTTGCCTATTATTTTCTGCGTTGTGTGTTTGGGGGTGTGCTGTGTCAATTACTGGAAGGCGCTGGATGGTGGAGGGACACAGAGGATCCGGGGAGAGGGGTTAATGTTCAGTCCACAGTATTGGTACCCAGAGCACAAAGTACTAAGCAGGCCTTTGCTCAAATGAGCCGAAGAAATAGCCATCTCGTACCTGGGCATAGGACTCTGAGCTTGCAGAGTGGGCTTTCAGCCATGAATTCATTTGATCTCAGAACAACTCAAGAGACTGGCACCAGACACAATCAGTTTTTAAGATGAGGTTCACAGAGGCTCCATGACTTACCTAAAGGCACCTAAATAGAACACTTCTCAAGAATCCTCTCTCCTGTGGTGCTCTCAAAGCTTTTCCAACAGCTCCTGCTTCTTAAGGATTTCAGCATATTGCATTGTGATTTCCTTGTTATCAGTCTCCTCATCTAAACTTTGCGCTGGTCGAGGGGAGAGCCTTACCTTTGTATGTTTAGCACTTAGCCCATAGCAGGCTCTCGGTACATTTAGTTGGTGCTGACACTTCATTCAGCCACACCTGGCCCTGTGCTATGTATTCCGTTAATCAGGCAGAGCATGTATTCTTCCCAACAGCATGAGTTTAGTCTTCTCTCTCCTGCTCATTCTTTTATCTGTGGTTTTTTCTGCATTCTCCTTAGTTGCTTTTCTCCTTGCTCATATTTCTTTCATCTCTCCCCTCCTCCTGCATTTGCTGACATTTTTCTTCTGCACAGGATGAATAAATGAAATGGTGATGTGTGTCATTCAAACTAAACTGAACTGTTGAGATGAGACTAGTAACAAATAAATTCCAATAAATGGCATATTTGGAATATGCATGATACAGTGCCTCTGTTGGTTTGCACAAACTCACTCTAGTTTGCAGTGTTTTAAAAATTGTTTAAGAGGTAGCTGGGACTCTTTCCCCCTGGGGGTGACATTTCTCCCTCTAATTCTGAAATGTACTTACAATCTCATGTCTCCTCTTGAGAACAATCTGTTAATATGCCAGAAAGTTTCCTTGCTGGTTTTATAAAATTGTAGACCTATAGTGATAAATTCTGAATGGCCACTCTCCGGGGAGCAGAGTGATTATAATGCTATCAACAGAAGCATGGATAAGTATCAGAAAATATGAGCTGGTTATGAAAGGCTTGCACCTTCTTTGGATTTAGATTATGCCAATCATGTATGACGTCAGCATGATTTCCCACAAAGAATTCAGACTAGAAAAGGAGTATGGACTTTGAAGTGGAATTAGTAGGAATTCTGTTCAAGGATCTTGGAAGGAGCAGCTGCCAAATAGGCTAGACAGTGAGACCACAGAACCATTAGTGAGAGAAAGCTCTGGGTGCTCAGGTAGAACAATGGATAAAGAGAATTTCAATCTTGGATCTGCTTAAACCATCACAGACTTCACTGTTTGCAGATCATATCCAGATGTGTTACCCTGGCCCTGGTTCCATGCAGTCTGATGCCAACCTACCTTTCAACCTCATCTTTTCTGGACATAGATGCTATTAAGAATTTTCATTAAACCCTTCACGTTCCTGCTTCCATTCTCTTTGCTATAATAACTTGGTTGATGATTCTTCTCACCAATCTTCACATATCTAAACTGTCTGTATTCTTAAAGCCTACTTTTGTTAGCACCTCTTTCAAGAAGTCATCTCTGATTGGGTTCAGGTGGACATACTTTCGCATTTCGCAGAGTTACAACACTTTATCTGCTTTTCTTAAATGCTACATCACTTTCAACTTTGTGCTGCAAATTTGGCTTCCCTCCTAAATTACAAAAATCCTGTAAGTAGGGTTGATACGTGATATGATTCTTTTTTGTGTCTAATACCGGCCCTAATATACACCACATTGCACATAGAAAGTGCTTAATAAATATTTATTAATTAAATGAATCAGATGTAGAGCGTCTCCTTTTGAGAGAACTGGTCTCAAAATTTGCTACTCCACAAAAGATAGCAAACCCAACAGGACAGGAAGAAATAGGCCAAGAAGAGGGTAGACTACCTAAAGAGGCAGAAACTCTGGAAATCTGTAAGACAGAGTGGCTTGATATATATCAACATGTTCTGTACGTTAAGGTCTAAGTTAGATGCTCCATATGCATTACTCCAGAAAAACTTTTAATAGGTATTATGCACATTCTAAAAAGTTCATTTAAGGAACTTATCCATATGATGCATATAATAAATGTTGGGATGGGTCAGGCTTCCAACTTAAGTCTCTGATCACAAAGCCCAGGCTTTCTGCACCTTTTTACTATCCTGCCTCCTTCCACAGAAGCATGCACTTCAGCATGGTGGTGGTCTAGGGTACAGAGGAAGGAGCCCTTCTTGCATTGCTGGCTAGGGATGGCTCATCTAAACAGTCGTTACAATTTGTACCTGCAGTATGATAAAAAATAACAGAGCAAATTGGAAATGGGTGCTTGTGGTGATGGTGTTGATGTGATTTGTACCCACTGAGTTACACTGTTAATTGGAATTTTAATATGAGTTCATCTATACCTTTGGGCCTATTTTGTGTAGCCCTAAGTGCCTTGCAGTGGAGACTCTTTAGTTACACAACAAGACAAGTCTAGTTAAAACTAACAAAATTCTATCATGTTTTCATGGCATTCTTTCTAGTACCTAGGCTAAAAACAAAAAGATTATCTTCTCGTTTTCCCTCAGTTGCTTTGGGGGTTTCTTTTTTTTTGGTTTCTTAATTCTTGTTTTATTTATTCATGGGTTCTCATAGCTTTAGGATTCTCAGCATCTTAAAGGACAAAGTAGCCCTTTCACCCACTGATTTCTTTCTGATTGATTGTTCATATTAAGAGTAGCAGAGATGGGAATTAGAGACTTACTAATGTGCCTCTTTAAAGCATGTATTGGCACCTATGATTCAGTTTCTCTCTCCAGGCACAGGACCTCACACGTAGTAAGTGCTCAATAAATATTTGTTGAATAAATAAATGAGTGACTCAACTGAATAAAAATGTATTATGTCTGCAATTTAAGTGACTCTAGTAGGGACGCCCATAATTCTTGATTGTTTGGTTTATGTATGTTTCCTGCCCCATCTCCTCTGGGGATCTACAGTGCATTGGCCGTAGGGCTGCCAACAGGGTCACCAGTGCACACTTGGGATGGTGGGACAAGGGGGCAGAGTTCTCCTGTGTAACTGCTGCTGGCCTCACCAGTGCTGGGGTCCAGAGCTCCACTTCCCTGCTGAGGAGAAAACCAGCTCTCCGAGTAGGAGTTGATGGTGATAGTGATGGTGAAGATGATGATGATGATGACTCAGCATTTCTCTAACTCCAGAGTTAAAAATACTGCTCATCCCAGCCTACTTGTTATTCCTCACGACTACCATGACAGGTGGGTGGAGGAGTGTTATCTCCAAGGGAAAAACATTGGGGGTTGTGGCCCAGAATAATGAAG